CATGTTATTTGAAATAGCATTTTTCCTCCCCAACTTATTTACACATTTAACTAAACATGTTCACTACATTTGTTCAGATCTTGAATAACATTTTCATCATGTATGTCCATGTGTAGGATAAAAAAGGGGTGCTTTCTTCAAACAGTTAACAACCTTTATGAAGTTGTATTAAGTTAAAATGCAAGTTAAACGTCTATCAGCAAGCAAAAGTATAGAAACAGAAAGTTCAAGGAAGTATACCTCAGCAGTTGTCCCTATGTTTGCTAGATTTAACGGTTCACCATCGGCACTTCTGTAAGCACGGACCTGCATTCATGTTGGGTTTAGTAACACCAATGGTAGAGAAGTGAAAAAAAATGTGTTATAACCAATCACACCAATGGTGTAAGGAGCATCAGCATTGAATATTGCTCTGTTAACTGTGGCTATAAAATTGGGTTTAGTAACACTAAGCGGAAGTGTGGCCTCCGGGAACAGAACTACCCCTGGTGCATACATATCAAACAGAAGGGTTTAACTAATTCAATCTATTATATGAAAGAAAAAGTTATTAAGACGAGTAATAAAACATATAGGATAACACGGAACACGTGATTCAAATATCATACTTATGTACTTTCTCACACATCCATTGAAATCATTAAAAATAATAAATATCTAATGGTCCTAAAATTTTCTGATTTTACTAATCAACAATCACAAGACTTTTGAATCATAAACCAATACCTCTAGAACCATGATTTATCAAAAACAATGCCTAGCAATTAGAATAAGAAATAAATGGAAAACGAGCAAATTCCTTCAAGACAGAACAATGGGAGGTTCAAGATGGCACCACCTTCCCAAAATCCAGACCTGTGGCGCGTGTCATCGACCTCTGTCATGTATTTACAAATTAAACCTCAAGCTGTTCAGAAAGGACTGAACAAAAGCTTCATTGTGTTAAATAGAGATTATATGATTACCGCCAAGATATGAATGTAAGGAAGTCAAATAGGTATCGGAGGTGAAATCATCAATCGAATAACCGCCACTACAATATGAACGACAAAGTTAACCAATAGAATACCATAGCAATCGAACTTAAACAAATCGTAAAATGCTTTAATCTAAACTAAATATATTCCAAGAATAAGCAGTAAAATACTGAAAGTTGTAAAAATGAAATACAATAGCAAAAACTCATTGCCACTAATAAATGAAAATTTTCCAAAACCTCAGTTCAAACCAAAATTATGAACACCGTGATAAAACGACGATAAATTCTAAGCAACGATAAATTCTAAGCACAACGGTTGACAGCGAATCAAAGGATTGAAAACATATGAAATTCCATATGGTTACGGTACTTACATAGTCTCGCAATCATCATCGGACGATTCAAGAAGACTGTCGACTTCTTCGATCTGCAACTCCTCATCGTCGAGCTCTAGAATCTGTTCGATCTGTCGCCTCAAAACCTCGTCTTCCATTTTCGTCTTTCTAGTGTTTTAGATGAATGAACTCATGAAACTACATTTTTGTCATGGTGCCATTAATCATCATCCGCAGCAATTTTCGCTCATGAAATTATTTTTTCTGTCTCTCCTCCATACAAAACTCCGTTGCCGTTGTCAAATAATCGGCCCATGAGGAATCTGTCCATCTACAATTGTATAAACAAACCCCCTCCATCCGGCCCATTCCAATAATTTCACGTAGAAAACTGTAGAAAAACTGAAATTAAGGTTTACTGACCATATAAGTACTTAAAACTGTAGTAATACATATTTAAGCCACAACTTTTTTAGGATGAAGTTAAAAATTGGCGACTAAACTTTTAGATATTAAACTTTAGTTTTTATTGTACTAGTTGTAAATGAAACAAGGTTTCATTGTTTATGTTGTAAATGAAGAAATATTAGTAGTTATAACTATTTATAAAATAGGGTAAACTACATACGTGATCACTTAATTATGGTCAAAAATTATTTTGACCACCAATGTTTTAATTTGATCAATCATACCACTCAACTATTTAAATACTTCAATCAAGCCACTTGTCGTTAACATTTAACGGAGTAGATGATGTGGCAGTTAAACTATTTTGGTATAATTACACAATTGGTCCCTTTTACTTATATATTATTTCAATTTAGTCATAATTGTAATAAATTAAAATAAATTTAACCCTTGAATCAGGATCGGTACCATGTGTCATTGGTGACACTTATTATGACATGTGTCGTCATTCGATTGAAGGATATTTTAATTTATTTTAATTTAATATATTTATTTTTCGCCAATTAGAGGATGACATGTGTCACCCTCTGTTTGAAAGAAAACAAACCCATGCAATAAGAAGGGGGAAATGGAATCAAACCTGAGACCTTTTAGTTAGAATAGAAAAGACCAACCCATTAAGCCAAAGCAATATATATATTGAATGTTAATATGTAAATGCTTTACTCAAAATTAATAATATTTTATATATCTTAAATTTTTTAATTATCTTTTGTTTTTGTTTTAACTTATTAAATATATTTTATTTTTATTTTAATGTAAAAATATATATTTTATCTTTATCATCACTTAAAAATTATATTTTTTAAAAATATATTAACGTAAAATATATTTAAATATTTTATTATTGATTTAATATATATATATATATATATTATTATCTTCACTTAAAAATATATTTCATTCTTATTTCAAATTAAAAATATATTTTATTATTATCTTAAATTTTAAAAATATATTAAAATAACTGAACTTCAAAATATATTTTAATATATTTTTAAAATTTAAGATAATAATAAAATATATTTTTAAGTGAATATAATAGTAAAAAAATATTTTTTGTATTAAATTAATAATAAAATATTATAAAATAAAATACAATTTTAAAATTTAAGATATATAAATTATTATTAATTTATATTAAAGCATTTACATACTAAGAATACAATATATATATAATTTGTTGTCCAAAATAAACCAAATGGTTGCCTTGGCTTCATGGAATCTCCTATTCTAGTTAAAGGTCCTAGGTTTGATTCCCCTTGCCCTCTCTTATTGTGTGGATTTGTTTTTTTCAAACAGAGGGTGACACATGTTACCCTTTGATTGGTGGAATATAAATATATTGCATTAAAATAAGTTAAAATATATTTAGTCCTTCAATCGAATAACGACACGTGTCATGACAATTGTCACCAATGACACATGGAACCTCGAGGATTAAATTTATTTTAATTTATTATAATTATGATGAAATTGAAAGAATATATAAGTAACAGGGACCAATTGTATAATTATACCAAAATATTTTAAATGCCACATTACCTACCCGTTAAATGTTAACGACAAGTGACTTGATTGAAGTATTTAAATAATTGGATGACCTAATTAATCAAATTGAGATATCGATAGTCAAAATGAATTTTGACCATAGTTAAATGGTCACATGTGTAGTTTACCCTATAAAATATAAGATGCCAGTTTATATATCCTATTTCTTTTCGATAAAGTACTTGCTTCCCCGGCGCCCGTCAAAACTCCTTTCCATTGCTTGGTGGGTTGGCAGATACAGTGATTATATGTCGAATTTTATGGAAAGTTGACACTTGACAGTGTTGGTGACTTGATTCCAATTACTTTATTCAAGGTTACTTGGAGGAAGGTTATGGTCTTCTCCGCACTTTGAAGTTGAAATGAAATGGAGGGATCAGGTCAAGAATGGACGGAGAGGATGCTGCGAACTATGGAATCCATGTAAATATGAAATTTCTATTCACATTATTTCCATATTGCTGGTTGTTATTTTTAAAAATTTCAAGTTCCGACAGTAATTATAAAAATATTTGAATTTTTATCGTTAAATAATTAAAATTTTAAAATAATACTATTTTATAACCACTTTAAATTAATAAAATAATAATAATAATAATAGAAAAAAGCTGTATAAAAAAAGAACCTTTTCCACAGTGCTTTTGTCTTGGTAAATCATCATTCATAAGTAAACAAACTACACTCCTTTTGCAAATCATAGTAGAAGATGATTAACATAGCAGATACGGTCGATTTTTCTGGTTCAAAAACTCAACGATTTGGTTGGCTGGTAATTAGCAGCGTGCAAACTTGTAGTCATTGTTAGAGATCAAGGAAGTAAAGAGAAGAAAAGGGCAAAAATAAAAGGTCGAAAAAGGCTCCTCTTAAAGTGAAGTTGGGAATTATCAGGTCAGGCAGTGATGGAACATATCTTACTAAGTGGGATATTAGGGCTCCACCACCATTTATGGATGGTGAGCTAGAAAGGGTTAGTTGTTCTGCTAACAATAATGATTGCCAAGACTTTTACCTTTGTTCTTTTCTTTCTTCTTTTCCCTCAATATTCATTGAACATTTCTAATGCCTACTTCCAAAAGAACAAAAATTTATACTTGGATGTTGATATTCACAGCAGTTTTCATCAACAACATTCCTTATATAAGTAACCATCGTAAACACAGAGCTGGTAAGACAGTGTTCGGGGTGTCTGGATTTGAATCCTATGATATAGTGACTTGAAAATGCTAAACACATCAAAGTAAAGGTAAGCATCTCCACCCATCCATCAAACGCGGATTGCAGAAAGCATGCTTGAAATAGGTTTTTAAGAGTCAACAATTTCATAATGACATAAACCCATGGCATTGTAAAATATATATGTAATTATTACTTTTTGAGTTTTCTTTTAAATCAAGACCTTATCAGGATTCTAGTTTCTCAGTTCAACCATGTTGGAAAATACTGGTTTTGTACACGTTGAAAGAGTTGACTGCATTTACTTGTACAATTACACAAAACCGTCGTGAAATACAGCACAGTTTATTTCCTATAAATGTGGTGCATACATACATACATATATCAGCTTATACAATACATACATACATACATACATACATCATATATAGTTACATACATGTATTAGCTTAATACAGCAGAGGAGAATACGTTGCAGGATATGTATTTATCAAATGTATGCTGTCCTTATCATGTGTAAAGTTCATCTGCCTAAAAGCCTAGGATAAGGCATCATAAGAGTCTAGGATAGCATTAGGTGCTTGACAAAAAGGAAGAATGAGCAATGTTGTCTTGTCTAGGTCATGAATCAGTATTATGTGGAAGCTGTTCTGTCTGCAGTTTCCTTTTGTCTGTCCTAATCTCAGTTCGAGGAGGAAACGAGGAGAGCAAACTTGAAAAAAATTAAAATAGCCACTTAGTTAGCTATATTTCCCCAACAAGCTTGCCATATATTGCCTTTTCCATGAAGACGCAGCAAAATTCATATATATAGGCTGGTGAAGTACTTAGATTTTTGGGGTTGTTGTTGGTTATCCTCCAGGTAGACTCAAGTATTTTGCTTATAATCCACATGAATTCCAATTAGTTTCTTGATTGAATTGGTAATTTTTCTCTGCAGTTTGTCTCCAGTAAACCAAGCCTATTGTCTAAGAACCAAAATACATAGAACCAGCTAGGATCTCTTTCTATTTACCTTGTTATGGTGTCCGATAAGATGGAAGAATATCCTCAGTTTCTGACCCTAAATATTATGAACAAAGAATGGCTAGTAAATCATAAAGTCTCAGAGGACACGAAGTTGGAGTTGAGACTTGGTCCTCCAGGGGAAGTACATGGCTACAACAGCAATACACCTCATGGAACAAAGAGAACTTTCCATCACACAACAGATGAGACAATATGTAGCTCTAAGATGGCAGTGGGAGAGGTTCAGTTTACCGATAGGAAAGCATGTTGTACTCTTGCTACTGCTGATCCAGACGCCTCGTTGAACAATACCTCAAATAAAAGGTTGCTATTCCTTAAAACTTTTGATACTTTCCGTATGATAAGAATTAGAATATATTCTTTCATGTGGAAAAAATTAAACAAGGTTTTGTTCAAGGGGCTCAGCATGGTTTGATCCAAGCATGTTTGGGAAGGGAAAGATGTTTCAGTAGCTTGTTTTAAGTTTAATAAATGCTGTGATTTTCCTTTCTTTTTTCAGTTTTGTTCTTTTCTGTTACATAGTTTTATTGTTTAGACCCTGGCTGATGCCATTAAAGTATGATCATATTTCTTATCAGCTCTTCTTACTGCCTTCAAACGAGCAGAATTGCATATTCACCAGTTGTTGGGTGGCCTCCGATTCGATCGTCCCGGAAAAATCTTGCTGGCAACAACTTGTCCAAGCCAGCTTCTGAATCATCAAACGACAAGGAAACTGGAGTAAACCCAAAAAAACCCAAAACTCGGTTATTTGTAAAGATAAACATGGAAGGAATCCCTATTGGAAGGAAAGTAAATCTCGGTGCCTATAACAGCTATGAGGAGCTCTCACTTGCCATAGATGAACTGTTCAGTGGTTTGCTTGCAGGTTCGCCCATAAACCAGATAATATACAAAATATCCATTCCACTATAGTTATTTGCTCACTTCTTCTCAACATCTTGCTTTATGCTTAAGTTGACTGGTTTGTTTTACAATTATATCTTAGCTCAAACAGACCCATCCACCACCCAAAACGAAAGCACGATCAAGGAAGTAGCCAAAGCAGATGCAGGTTCATTGGCTGCAGGTGGGGAATATACTCTAATTTATGAAGATGATGAAGGAGATAGGGTCCTTGTTGGAGATGTCCCATGGCAGTAAGCAATTTTCTCTTATATTAGGCCTTACACTATGACATAGCTTACACAAATTAGATTCTTTCAAATGGAACCTTCATCTGTTATTCAACTGCAAAAATTTCAGTACAAAAACATGATATATACATATAATTTCCATTTGATCGTGGATTTCATATATTTGACAGCATGTTTGTTTCTACCGCAAAGAGGTTACATGTATTGAAGAGTTCTGAAATTTCAACTCCATAAAGTAAGTTGTATGAAACCTTTTATTTTATTTTCATTAAAAAAACTATAAAATTGAGAGGTGTCAATTCCTGTTGATCAACTTTCTAGGAAGTTCAGGGAATATGGCTGCTTGCAGTTTGTAGCAAGGAGAAAGAAAAGCCCCATTTGATCCTGCAGTTCATACTTGAAGGTAACTTTATAGAAGATGGTGAATTCTCTGATGTCTTCTTCAAGTGGAATTCCGGTGGCATGAAAGTTCTAATTTGGGTTTCGAAACTCCAGATCTATAATCTGCAATCATTTCTCATTGAAGTTGGCATATGAGCTACTATGATATGTTCATAGAACAAGTCTGAATAAATTTCGAAGATGTATTTCAATTGGCGTTGCTTTGTTTTTAGGTCAACTAGGTGTTTGGAAATGGAAACGTTGATGGGACTTTATTATATCTTTGAAATTCTTGTAATTTGACTTTATATTTTATCTTTTCTTTTTTATAAAATATCTAGAATCACAATTTATGCTTATAAACATAAACCTAAATTAAACACATAATTAAGACATTTTCCTATAAGCATTGACATAAAACTAGCCATTTAAAATCACAGTCAAATGTCTTCTAGATAACAAATAAGTATCATCTTGATCAGTCGTGACGATATTAAATTCAACTCTGAGAAAAAAAAACGAAAATAACAGTCAAATGATCGAAAATGTGTCAAAAGACAAAAGAAAACATACCATAAAGACATAGTTATTACAATCTAAAATATAAAAAAAGCAAAAATGTGATAAAAGAAATTAAAGAAAAAACAAAAAATATCGACCGCAACAAGTAGCATCAAGACTGGTATCGTCGTCTATCAATTAAGAATAAAGAAAGACATAACTGACTTTAGGGTTATTTTTAGAGCTTTCAATTGACTTTAGGTTTTGTCATAAATAATGTTAGAATGTTTTATAACAATTTGATATTGATTTTAAAAGTGTTGTAAAAATTTACTTTTAAAAGTATTTTTGAAGAGTACAATTTAAAATTTAAATTTTTGATATCGTTGTTAGAAATTGATTTTAAGAAGATAAAATATTCAATTTAGATATTATGTTGTAAACTAAAATTATAGTATTCGAGGGTAAATATATTTTCACCCAAAAGTGATTTTTCACGGCAAGAACTAGAATTTCGAGTTTATGAGATTAAGTTGAATATTACTTTTCCAACAATGATTTTAAATCAATTTTGGGTGTTTAACATTGCTTATTGGATGAAATAATCATTAAACTTCACTTGTTAAACGATATCAAATTTTTAACTATGTTTGATCTTATATATATATTTTTATATAATATATCAATAATAATATTAATTGAGTTAAAGTCATCTATCTATTTTAATATATTTTAATTTATAATTTGTTGAATATTACAAATAATTATACTTACCGAACTAAGTTTATAGAATTATTTTATAATTTTTTCTTAAAATAAGAATAATTTATAATATAAAAAAATCAATAATGATAATTTTGTTCCTTAAATATATTTATATAAAAAAAATCTGGAAGCAGACCGACAAGAAAATCCCAAAAAGGAAGTTCCTTTGCCCGCCCCTGGTTCGGCCTTTTAGGGTTTATTGTTTATTGTTTATTCGGTGTTTTCATTTCATCTTCGTTTCATAAATTAAAATCAAAATCTTTTTTGTGTTAGAAACCCCTGCTTTCCACTCAAGATCGAGGTACAAAGATCTTTAGTTTCATTCATGCAATATAACAGAGTTAATTGCTTTTATATTTCCAAATAGTTTCTGGGTTAGTTGAGACTCATTCTTCATTATTTGAAAAGTGATTTTTTATAGGGTTTTACTATGTTCTTATTTTGTTCCTTGGGTTTTTACCTGGATCGCGTGTATGATCGTTTTCGTTGAGAAGATTTCATCTTTTATGTTACTTGATATTGTTGCTGTTAACCTTATCAAAGGAGAGGAAGTGTGCCGTAAAAGCATGTATGTAAATCTGTCTCCTGGGAATTTTTACTGTTTTATGTGTTCTATCATGCCTTTGTTTGTTTTGTTTGGTTTTATTGGTCATTGAAGTTGATAATCATCATTAGTTTGATGAAATCAATTGCTGGATCGTTCTAAACAAATCGAGGTTTGTAATTTGTTTTGCTATATTCCTTGGTTGTCTGGAAATTTGAGCAATCTTTTTGACGGCTGAATTTTGTACGGAAGTTTGGAAATTAGGGTTTGTTGATAGAAAAGACACCGTCTTTTGTGAAACATGGGGACCTCAGAAACATCTAGAGAGCCATGCCCTGATCGAATTCTCGACGATATTGGTGGCACTTTTGGTATGGGTGCGGTTGGGGTGCAGCTTTCCACTTCATAAAAGGCGCATATAACTCCCAAGCGGCGCACGGTTGATAGGAGGAACTCAAGCTGTGCGCATGAATGCCCCTCGTGTAGGCGGTAGCTTTGCTGTTTGGGGTGGCCTTTTCTCCACCTTTGATTGCACCATGGTGTACCTGCGACAGAAAGATCCATGGAACTCGATTATAGCTGGTGCTGCCACTGGAGGGTTCCTTTCGATGCGTCAAGGACTTGGTCCTGCTTCAAGATCAGCAGTGTTTGGTGGGGTTTTGCTTGCGTTGATTGAAGGAGCTGGGATCATGTTGAATAAATTCCTCAGTCAGCCACAAATGCCTATTATGATCGAAGAGCCATCACCCAATGTAGCCGGCATACCTGGATATCCAATGGGGCAATTGCCAAACCAGGGCTCTGCCCCTGTATCAGTTGACAGCTTGAGACAGGGCTCATCTCTGTCTTCATCACCGTCGTCATCATCAGATTCCTCGTCAAATTCTTCATCATGGTTTGGAGGCCTTTTTGATGGTGGAAAGAAGCAGGAATCAGCAACAGGAAGTGGAATTAAAACTGAGGTTTTGGAGAGCTTTGATTCTCCTCCTGTACCATCGTTCGAGTACAAATGAAATGGTGGCTAGCCATTTTGGTCGCTGTTAGTCAATGTATTAGCGTAGAATTAGCACACAAGATTGGGATAATGTTTACAGCAGCCGCTAATGTAGCATCTGATCTTGCATATTGATTGAAACCCAACTCACAAATTTTATCCAAATCTTTGACTAATGGTTTTGTTAAACAAATAAAATATCACGCTACCGTATATTAACAGCATAACTTTATACATACTTAAAACTCATCGCCGCCTCAAAGTAAGGATATGAAGAATGCAAACACAGGTTTTACCAGCCATTTGAGGTTTGGGCAGAAATTTTCTTAAAATAATCGAGTTAAGAAAATAGGATAAAATTAAGGTAAATTTATGAGATCCAAGTTAAAAAATGTGCTTTAAAACTACAAGTATTGAATTATAACTTTTTTATATAAAAAAATCAAAATGTAATTTCCTTATATCAACGAGAGAGACATATTCACCGTGGGGACAGTTCATTTACAGTTGACATGGTCGTTTTCATTGTGTAGATCTTTTAAAAGCATATTCATTAAAGAGCCATAAATTCTAAATTTGAATTATAGTTATACTCTCGTAATAACTTTCTTAACATATTAACAATATATACACATTCTGGAGGTGATTTAATTTTATTATTGAGACGGTTTGATAAGTTCATTCTTTCCTTTTACTGATTAAATTTCTTTTGAACAATTTTTATGTAGAAGAAGAGTTATGTTCTAGAATGAGAATACTAATCCAAAAATCCCATAGGAACAGGCGGCCAACGAACCCCGGTCAGTGTGTTTGTGGCTGTGGGGTTGAGCTGAGCCGTCTTTTTCCTCTTTCGATTTTATTTTTCTAGATAGAAGTGTAAAGAAATCCTAGAAAAAGTTAAACGAGAGATGTATTATTCAGCACTCTCACCGCAACCTTACCCAGTTGAATGGTCTAAGTATTCGAACTCAAAAGTTTTTCAAACAAGAAATTGTTATATTACCATTTCTTTAGTTTAAATTGTAGACACCCGTTTTTGACCGGGTTTTATATTTATATTTTTATTATTATAATTTATTTATTATTATTATTAATTTCTTTGTTTTATTTTTTGTAGAATCCATGTTCAACCCCACTACCCAAAAATAAGGGAACCTCTATTGCTATTTCCACCATTTCAATACCCCACAACGTCCATAACCTCATCACCCACCTCTCCACGATTCTCGACTCTTTTCTCTATTTCAATTCCATCAACAGAAGCGATAAAACGCCACTCGACCTTCAAATCTAGGGGGGCTCTCGCAGTGCCAATTCCTCCGGTCCTTGCAACATTTAAAACCTGCCCTGGAACTCCTAGAGATCAGCTAAAAGATTTGTTAAAGTCTGATAATGTTGCTCCCAAGCCTGAGATGCAGAAAGGTGAACTGACTCAAGAATTCAGTCTGTCAAAGCTCAAACCTGAAGAACGTTGCTCCTCGAAACGGTGTTGGCAACAAAGGTGGCCATTGAAACCCACCGAGAGCAAGGACCTTTAAACCGAACACCGATGGTGGTGTGAATCCCATGACGATGAAGCCGTCCAACGGTGGTGTGATCAGAGACGACAGAAGATACTGGATCGTTGGTTACACCAGAAATATTGGCTGTCGCTCAATTTTACAAGCTAAATTCTGGCGGGTTCTTGATGGCCTCGAGGTTGCTTGGGAACGAGGCCTGTAGCAATTGATCGTGGAGATGGATAGCGTCGAAGTCGTTCGTTGCTTGGAGTCTTCCCCTCGCTCTCATGGAACAACAATTGACAGACGAATCCGAAGACTTATAAATCGGTAATGGATTATCAAATTCAGATACATGCATACCGTTTATTTGTTTTACATTTAGAATTTGTTGGTTCCATCACTCTTTAATTGCCTCAATAAATACATGGGCTCCACGTCTAGCCTTAGAGAAACAAAGTGAAGGAACAAACAACACGGGATGAGATTGATTTTCTTTCATGTCACTTTCACACAGGCATCTAGTGATTGAAAATGGAAACCACTAACTTTCACAAAGTACTTAGTTTTTGGATTTAAATTTTTTTTTTGATCATTACGTATTATAATAAATTATTAATCTTATTAATTAGGCTTCTTGTGAACTACGTTAGTGGCATTTGATTTCTTTTGGTCCAGCCAAAAGAGCTCGACCATTTTACTTTAAATTTGGAGCTAATGGCTCAAGTTATAGCAGAAAAATTACAATATGTACGCCCATGTGAAGAGATGAAATGAAACCCATTTTCCATTGACTACTTTTTCATGTTTGGACATGCTTGGAATACTAACTCTTCGGTTTTTTTTTGTTTTTTTACTTTATTTATTTGAATTTTGTTTTATATATAGGATAATTTTAATCAATTAAAAGGTAATTAATTCGAATTGAATATTTTAAATTTAAATTTTCGTAATTAAAGACAACCGACAAATTAATTGGTACCGAAAGGGCGGTTCAAGGGTGCTAATCATTCCTTGACCGTAATCGACTCCCGAATCCGACATATTTCTGGTAAAACGTAGATCAGGTAAGATGGTGTCCGACCTATCTAAATGTTTTAAATGGTCGGTGGTGACTCTTAATCGTTTAATTCAAGTCGAAGCCCAATTTCGGGGTCCAACCGAAAGAAGGCCGCGACATAAATAATGATAAAATTATATTAAAATATTGTATGAATGATAATTTTTTTAAAAAAAATTATAAATTAAAATTTTATTTTAACCCATTAAAATTTTGTAGTTTAGTATGTATCCTTAAAAATAGTCCCATTTTTTCTCTGTATATTAATATTTTATTTTAAACTTAGGTGTCATTTTTTATTATAAATTGTTGAACTCTAACAAAGTCTAAAACCAACAGCAATAATAAAAGGAAAAAAGCCAAAAAGCTTCTGCCCAGCTTAAGCTTAAGCCAATTCAAAGCTCTTCGAGTTATTCATCACCAAAAGGACGTAAGGAATGACGAGATAAGTTACATGCATTACCATAATTTCTTTCACTAGTTTAGATGATTATAAAATAATATATATTTATAATTTTTTAATTAATTAATAATGTACACATATCTAGTAGATTATCTGAACATATAATTTTTAAGAAAAATAACCATTTAACCACTAAAATTACTTGATATATTAAAATCAGCATAAACTTTTTAAATTGATTCAAAATAAAATTTAATCATAATTTCTAACAATAACAAAAACAAACATAAATGGAAGAAAAAGAACATCTCGAAGCTGTCTAACCGATTAAGTATAAAGCCGAGCGGGCATCGGCTCAAGTAAAGCAGTCCACGTTGGTTGACTATTCAACAAATAATTCTGCCAAAAAAAAAAAGGCCCATAATATATTTGAAAATATAAGATACATATATAATTTAACAATTTTATTTAAATAATAATTTCTGTAGAACCTACTCCAATCACTTTTTAAGTAATTTATATCAAAAGTCGTTAAATTATAGTTAAGTAATTATTTTAATTATTAAACTTTGAAAAATGATAAAATCATTAAATATATCAAAGTACTATAAAATAATAATTAAATTATCTTGAATTGTTATGAAATGATAATTAAATTATAACAAAATAATCATTAAATATTTAAAACAATAATATAAATATAATTAAATAACTTATTTCCATTAATATTTTTAGTCCGATATCCATTTTTCGACAAGTCTAGATAGTAGTGGCAGAAATGTAAATAAAAAACGCTTACCGTAGAACGAAAGGCTTTATTTTAATAATCTCAAAACTCAGCGAGTATCCCGAGTCCCGATCCTCCCCAGCCCAGCCAAAGGTATAACTCGGCTTTTCCCGTTAATACAAACTGTCCTGAAAATGTCTGCACTATGCTTATCCTTTCTCTTCCTTCTTTCAATTTCCATTCCCCTCAAAGTAACGTCGCAAGACATAAATGCCGACCGAAATGTTCTTCTCAACCTCAAACAACAACTGGGCAATCCACCATCCATTCGATCTTGGACCTCATCTTCCTCACCGTGCGAATTGCCGGAGATCAACTGCACCGCCAACTCCGTCACCAAAGTTCATCTCAGAGACAAAAACATCACGGTACCGATTCCTCCATCAATATGTGCCCTTAAAAATCTCACTTTGCTGGACCTTGCTTACAATTATATTCCCGGAGAGTTCCCGCCTCTTTACAATTGTTCAAAGCTTCAAACCTTAGACCTCTCAAAACTATTTTGTTGGTCCAATTCCTGACGAGATTGACAGGTTATCAACTCTGGTTTTCTTGGATGTTGGCGCCAATAATTTTTCCGGTAATATTCCACCAACTATTGGAAGATTATCAAATTTGCAAACCTTGTACATGTATCAGAACCAGTTCAATGGGACATTTCCTAAGGAAATCGGAAACTTGTCCAACCTTGAGGTTTTGGGTATGGCTTATAACGAGTTTCCCCCCATGAGAATACCTCAAGAATTCGGTCAGTTAACGAAGCTTTCGTACTTGTGGATGATACGATCCAATCTGTTCGGCGAAATCCCTGAAAGTTTCAACAACCTTTCCAGTTTGCAACACTTGGATTTGGCTGGAAATAATTTGGAAGGTCCAATTCCTGGAAGGCTGTTTTCGTTGAATCTTACGCATGTTTATCTCTACAACAATAAGCTGTCCGGTGAGATACCCACACCCGTTGAAGCGATGAATTTAGTAGAAATTGATCTTTCGATGAATAATTTAACTGGCTCCATTCCAGAGGAATTCGGGAAGTTACAATATCTGGACTTCTTAAACCTGTTTTCAAACCAGTTGACGGGAGAGTTACCAGCAAGCATTGGTCTTCTTCCTGCCCTGAGAGATTTTCATGTTTTTCGGAACAACTTGACGGGTGTCTTGCCACCAGAGTTTGGCCTTCATTCGAAGCTTGAAGGGTTTGAGGTGTCGGAGAATCAATTCAGTGGGCAACTGCCCGATAATTTATGTTCTGGAGGTGCACTACAAGGAGTAGTTGCTCATACAAACAATCTCAGTGGGGAAGTGCCAAAGTCGCTTGGAAATTGTCGCACTTTACGAGTTGTACAACTTCACAACAATAGGATCTCAGGCGAGATCCCTCAAGGTCTATGGACAACTTTCAATTTGTCGACATTGATGATAAGCAACAATTCATTTTCGGGTAAACTACCAAATGAACTTGCATGGAATCTGTCGAGGGTGGACATTAGTGACAACAGATTCTCCGGTGAAATCCCATCCACGGTTGCATCTTGGACAAATTTGGTCGTCTTTGAGGCGAGCAACAATTTGTTTTCAGGCCAGATTCCTGAAGAGATAACGAATCTTTCTAGTCTTACAACCCTGCTTCTCAACGGTAATGATTTTTCTGGTGAATTACCATCTGAAATAATCTCATGGAGATCGTTGACTACATTAGATGTCTCCAATAACAAGCTTTCTGGTGAAATTCCTCCTGCAATTGGTTCATTACCTGATCTGCTTAACTTGGATTTATCACAAAACCAATTGTCTGGTGAAATTCCTCCTGGAATTGGGAACCAAAGGCCGACTATACTCAACTTGTCATCTAATCAACTTGTTGGGAGGATCCCGAGTCAGTTAGATAACCTCGCATATGAAAACAGTTTTTTGAACAATGCTGATCTATGTACGGATGATCCAATTGTAAAGTTGCCGGATTGCAATTCCGAACTCCATGAATCTGAGGGGTTATCCTCCAGACTTCTCGCCATCATTCTAACATTCTCCATCCTTATTTCCCTAGCTATTCTTGTGTTTAGCTTCTTCATAGTTCGAGACTATAGGAGAAAAAAACACATACAGTATCTAGAAACATGGAAGTTGACCTCATTTCATAGATTGGATTTCACGGAAGGAAATGTATTGTGTAATTTGACAGAAAACAATCTCATTGGAAGTGGTGGATCGGGGAAAGTTTACCGAATTATCATCAACCATTCAAATGAGTCCGTTGCTGTGAAGAAAATTTGGAACAGTAAGAAACTGGATCACAAGCTCGACAAAGAGTTCTTAGCAGAAGTTGAAATATTAGGCAGCATTCGCCATTCCAACATAGTGAAGTTATTGTGTTGCATTTCCAGTGAAGACTCAAAGCTTCTGGTATACGAGTACATGGAGAATCAGAGCCTTGATAGATGGCTTCATGGGAATAAGTGGTCGTCAATATCGGGGACGGACTCAGTTTATTATACCGTCTTGGATTGGCCAACACGATTGCAAATTGCTGTCGGAGCTGCTCAGGGACTATGCTATATGCACCATGAGTGCCCAACACCAATCATCCATCGTGATATGAAGTCGAGCAATATTTTACTGGACTCTGAATTCAAGGCAAAAATTGCAGATTTTGGACTGGCTAAGATGCTAACTAGGCATGCAAGTTCTCACACGATGTCTGTCGTTGCAGGATCTTTCGGTAATCTCGCCCCAGGTAAAAATGGTCAAAACTTACCTCATATATCCTTTTTAATATCAATATCTTCTGAATCTGAAAAAGTAGAACATCCCTTTAACACAAAGGTGTTGTCATTTGAAAACAGAGTATGCATATACAACTAAAGTGAATGCAAAGGTAGATGTTTACAGCTTTGGCGTAGTACTCTTGGAATTGGTGACAGGAAGAGAAGCCAATAACACAGATCAGAATATGAACCTAGTACAATGGGCGTGGCATCACTTCTCAGAGGATAAGCCTATAGTTGAAATACTTGATCCAGAGTTGAGAGAATCATCTTACTTGGAGGAAATGATAATGGTATACAAGATAGGAATCTTGTGTACGCGTGCATCTCCCTCTACCAGGCCTTCCATGAAGGAAGTATTGCTTGCCCTCCATAACTGTTGTCCGGAACATGGTCAGTGAGCCAAAGAAAAAGTTAGCGACATTGATGTAGCTCCACTTCTTAGCAGTGTCACCAGAACTTATCTTTCCAGTTACAAGAACAGTAAGAAGGGATCCACGGAAGATGACCGCATGATTTACGACGGGTCTGATTGACCATGCGAAATGGCCATGTCAAAAGGACACCCACATAAGGGAGCTTTGAAAAAATAACATGGGGCCACTGATTATCTGCTGGATGTATTAGCTTAGGTTAGATAAAGCTACTGTACTTCTGTAATTGAGCTGAACATACTTTTGTGAATCATTGATTTTCCTCTCTCAATCAAAACGTTTTGGTCAAGTGATTATCCAACTCAAAGTACTAATGATAAACTTGCCAAAACTAACCATCTTCTTATACTCTCCGTGTACACATAAGTTACTCCATCAGATAGCAAACAAGAATATTCAGAATCATAAAATTAATATCCATTAAAAAAACAATTCATGCATTAATCCAAAATCAAACATTCTAGAAAAATTAGAAGCTCTAACAAGCATTTTGGAGGAAAAATCAATGACATTTGATACAAGGGCTTTGCAAAGACTCATTCTTTATTGCTATCAGCTTGTTTCTTCTTAGCCTCATCCACATTTTCAACCAGTGGTAGTGTCTGCATAACCAAATTCACATAAAAATCAGCGTCATTTCCGAAAACGAACTTATACGCTTTGGGATTTCACTCAACATCAAATACTGTAATTGACAAGTTATAATGAATCCCTTTTTAGTGATTTCAAGTTCTAATAATTCAATTCAGTTGTTTGGGACATTTTGTCGAACAGTTAATAGTGTGTCCTGATATGTACAAGCACTATACACACTAGAAGTGGGAGAGAGTAGTATAGATAAAGCAATAGAAAAGTGATTACGAGATCGGGACTGTAGATGTTGTGGACGACTGAGGCGCCGGCGAGGAGTGATGCAATGACGATGACGCACGACCAGGCGAGAGATGGAGTCCCCGTGGGCTGTTTCACTGCTCCAAATTTTTGGTTCATGGTCTTCTTTTCTTGGAATTAAAATTCTAAAACGGGCTTGTTAAAAAGAGCTTCTCATTCAACGGCAGCCATTATATCAAACTGAAGTGATCTGAACCGTTGAAAATTAAAAAAAAACAAAGGTGTAACCCATTAGACTATGAAAAAGAAGGAAGAGGAAATTCTAAAAAAGGTAAAGTACCTAGATAGTCATTAAATCATAAGATTATTTCTATTCTGGTCACCAAATTATTTTTTTAAATAGATCATTTAACTATTAAATTGTTATTCAAGGATTAATATCTGATCAAATTGAGTCAAAAACTTTAAGTTAGTCAAACTCACGACTCAAATCAAGTTTATACTTAAATCATTATTTATTACTAAATAGTGTTAACTTAATTTAATGTGCTTGATAAATAGTAAAATGTGATTTAATTAATATAGATAAATAATAAATGAAATCATAATCACAATCACAATCAACAAGTATTAATTATTAATTATTAAAGTATGAAAGTTTATAAAACTATTAGTTTATTAAAAGATTATTTCTTTTTTACTGAATAATAACACCAAAAACTGTAAAACATGCGAGTGTGCAAGCTGCTTTGCAGACTGCTATGTTAGAAGATACTCTGGCTTGGGCTGTGGGGAGCTTGAAGGGGAAATCCCTCATTGTTTGCATTTTGAAGTTGGCTTGGACCAGCTTCTTATATTTTACATGGGAGGAGCGTAACCACAGGTGTTTTAGGAGAATATCTCGGTCAACTGATGTTGTTTTTGAGTGTGTTAGGGGAATATTTTGTGCAAAGTTGCAGGGATGTTGTATTAATAGATTGGACAGGGTGAATATTTGTTTAGAGTGGGTAATAGGATAATCGCTGCCTGTACTGGATTGTTTAATTAGGTGTGCGGTTTGTTGAAGCAGGGGAGACTGTTTTGGTATTTTATGTCTTTTGGTTGTTTGTTGCAGCTTTGCTGCTTTCTTTTGGATACTTATGGAATGAAATACAACCCCAAAAAAAAACCTTTAAGAAATTAGATTAAAGTGAATTAAATTTTCAAAAATTATTTTGGAACCTTCTTTAAACTCGCAGTTTCGTTTTATTATATAGCAAATTCTTTTATAAATTTTTATTTTTATAAATTTTTTAATTGGTTTGGTCTTAAAATACAAAAGAAAAGTGGTAAAGAAATGAAAATAAAGAGATTAAAATAAGATTTTTTTTCTTAAAATAACAAAATTAAGAGATCAAAATTTAATCTGAACTATATAGTGTGAATTCATATGGTTGAATTAATGCGAAGAACTATTTCAACCGAGTATTGCATCGAGACGCATGCCCCTTACGAAACAGAAAAAGATCCGTTACTAAACCCGCCCAAGAGTCCGAGGCACGCGTCACATCCTCATCAACTAACATCCATGCAAAGCTGCTCAACCAAACACGCGCACGATACTCCAGACCCAACTACAACATTACATCTTTCTAGATAATACGGTTCGAGCTTATGATAAAGGTGTATTAAATATACACTTCACCTCCCTCCTTATAATGCCACCCTCACAGCTCTCTTTTTCACCTCAACGTCCCTCTTTCATCATATCACACTCCGTTTTGCCCTTCTTTTGTTGATCTCTTTCATTGTACGATCAGGGCTTTTCATCATGTCGAATGATCAAAAGAAACCCATGACTCAGAAGCTGTACGAGTCAGCTCCATCATCTCGGCAGGCGGCCAAGTTTTTAACGGCGACCACACTCAGTGCAACGTTGCTTTTCTTGTCAGGGTTAACCTTGACCGGGACTGTGGTTGCCCTGGTTATGGCGACGCCAGTTATGGTGTTGTTCAGTCCGATACTGGTCCCGTCTGGCATAGTCATCTTCCTGCTGATTGCTGGGTTCTTGTTCTCTGGTGGGTGTGGCGTGGCAGCAGTAACGGCGTTATCGTGGATATATAAGTACGTGCAAGGGAAGCACCACCCACTAGGAGCGGATAAGCTTGATTATGTAAGGAATATGATCGCAAGTATGGCGAGGGGTGTGAGTGTGACGGGTAACGCTAAGGAGACTGGACAATTTGTGCAGCAAAAGGCTCGAGAGATTGCTCAAGGGCAAGGATCTTGAACTAAAGTGTATACCCTTAACTGTTTAGTTTAAGGCCTGGTTTATTGTTTTCGCTTGATCAAATTTGCATGCATGCACCGTAACCATCTGTTTTTCTGGGCTTTGTTGCTGTGTTAAGACTGAAGTGTTCCATTGTAGCTCATAATCTCGTTTCTCTGTTAATAAAAATTTATAGGTTTACTCTTGATTTGTGCATGAAAATCGGACAACACAACAAAATAAGAACTGTGAATTGGCTCCAACAGTTTAACTTAGAAGCAATCTGGCTAACTCAATTCCAAAATTCCATGTGTTCAACAAGCAGCAAGCAGTGATCCATATGGAGTATGGACATTGCGAAGGCTCAAAAGGCAGGTCCTGGATAAATCCGAAAGCATCATCAATACATCCTCTCGTGCCAATAGATCAAATTTACATGCATAATGTCAAATAAGCAACTTAAGATTTTTGCGATCTGTGTCTGCCAAACCACCGACAAAAGCTAGATACTCAAGCTGAAAGCGCTAAAGTTTAAGCCCACTTTGTTCCATGATTTCATCCTAATAAACCACCAAACCCGCTATTCAGCTAAAGCTAGGACTTAATATATTGAAGGCCGTTGAGCACATTATTTGTGAATTTATTTGAACAAAATTACAGAACTTAGTTGGGCAAAAAGGGTAGGGTTTCATGGGAAACGGAAATAGAAACCCCTTTATCGTTATATAAGGGTTGTGGGTGGAGTGAGGAAAAATTATTGGTAAGGAAAATGGATGCGCATCCGGGGAATCGAACCCCGGTCAGTACCGTGGGAGGGTACTATGATACCACTACACTAGATGCGCTTGGCTGGTGATAGAGATAATAGTTATTAAAATTACAGAATAACATGCTTTAATAGAGAAGGTAACCGTCCCAGTGTACAAAACAAAGGATGTTATGTTCCATAAAGCATATAAACGTGGAAGACATACAGAACGCCTTGGTCCTTAACTGAATGAAGCATTTATGCCAAGAGGCACTATACACAAAACTAGAAAGACAGTCACCAATGATATTGAATTCCACGTCTGGAGTAAAGTAAGCAACACTAAGCAAAAATTTCCCAAATGTGGTATTGGTATATAGCTAAAAAACAGGTTTAATATAATCTTAAATTCGTGTGAACTACGTGGTGATCAACATGTTTTAGTATTATGGACTAGATAATTAGATATCAAATAATTCATCATATGCGCACTTCCACATAGACATTTATGTAAGAATTTGAATTTCTTTCCACCATAAATTACAAAAAGTTTAAACTGTAAGATTTGTTTTATGTCTCCCTTCTTTTACTTAGGGTAACCATTTGGCATCCCAAAAGAAACAATGTAGCATTCACATTGAATGGTTTTTTAGTGATAAAGGGGAATTTTATTTTTTTCTAGAGGTCATGTGTTTGAAAAGTTTTGTTTACAGGGTTTTTATGCGTTGTTAATAGATTTAAAAAAATATATTAATAAATATTATCATAAAATCACCCTAAATATTATGTGCTTTTGTCGATGGCTTGTCTATTAGCGTTGTTCTTGTTATTTATATTACTTGAACTTGGTGAAAGCATCGTATACATGCTGAAGCTGGCTCATTCCATTTTGGTTTTATAAAGATGAACCTGAAATGTTGGCATCAAGGCCCAATATCGGCCGAAGGTTCAAGCATCGTATACATGCTGAAGCTGGCTCATTCCTTTTTGATTTTCTAAAGATGAACCTGAAATGTTGGCGTCAACGCCCAAAACCACGACCCATGTGTTCTTATCACCAGTTGCCCAAAAAGACCATAACACCAGTAGAGTGGCAAAACAAAACCCTAGACGAATAGCCCACAGTTCATACCCCAAAACCAACAATTTGCTCTGCTCTTTCCATTAGCAGCTAATCTTTCCAATGAACCCCAGAGCAGAAACGAAACAAATTATTTTGTACGTTAAATAATAGTCGGTGAAGTGGTAAACAACAATGGAACATACGTATCTGTTCATTTATTGTATATTCGATCAATAAATAGTGTTTTTTAATAGTTTTATTTAAAAATTATATAAAAATATATTAGAATACTATTAATTATTATTTATAAAAACAATTCCAGCAAACACACAATTAATAGCCAAGTTGGCTGTGGCTATTCCCTCCTCAATAGAGCCTCAGGTTCAAGTAGCATCGAATGTATGAGTGCATTTAGTGACAATGACTTGCTCTTAATTTAGGACTAATTTAATTAACTCGTAATCTTGTAATGGTCATATTTTATTTTAGTTATATGAATACATCAAATATAATTATATCTTTTTGTGTTATAATTATAATTTCTAGTTATTGTTATTAGAATGTATTGAATGTTATTAAAAAATTAATTATTGTTGTTTATTATAACTTTGAATATGATATCATATATAGTATAATAAAAAAAATTATCTAAAAAGTCGTAGAATGGAGAAGTTTTGGGGTCATTTGAGAGACAGAAACATGGTCGAAGGAGATTTTCTTCCCTGAATTCACGATATTTCAATATAAATTAATACAGCATTGACGTAATTTTCTAGGCCATTATTTTATATTTTATTGGGAACATTGTTTTAGGCAATAGTTTTGTGACATGGACACCCTAATCCTCGACTCTTGATGAAAATTCTCTCTACGAAAAAAGCCTGATAATAAACCAAGCGAATATTTATTTATTTATTTTTAATAGCCAAGCGAACATTTATAAATACAAGTTCTCACTTTTTTGTTTTGTAAAGCAAAGGTTTGAAGTATTAAAGTATAATATAAAAAGGGGGTGGGGGAATACGATGGAGACAACAACCTATATTATTTTAATTGTAAATCATGTATCAGGCTTAGGGCATCTCTAATCCTATATCTACTCTAAAGTATCTCTATCTCTATTGTAGAGATGAAATAATAATTCATCTCCAGCGTTATCTATACATTAGCATCAATTCTATTTTATTTATAATATTTAACTATTATAATATTAATTTTATAAATATAAAAAAGCAGAAAAATATAAAAAAAATTCCGAAAAATTACAAAAAAATTAGTAAAATTATTTATCTAATTTTAATATATTTTTATCTATTTTATAATTTAATATATTTTAATTTAAAAAAAGAAAAAAAAAAGAAATGTGGCGCAAGCTACAGTGCCGCGCCACATCTAGCGCGGCACTGTAGCAGATCTCTACTGTAGAGCAAGGTCTGGTGCAGCACTGGAGACGCTACAGTGCCGAAAATCGCTACAGTGAAGTAGCATTGGAGATGGCCTTAGACTGTAAAGAAAACGACAAAGGACCGTCCGAGATTCGGGCAAGAGAAGCTCTTTGTGAATGATTTTGAAGCCTCTAAATACATAACAAATGAGGAAAAATGTAAAAAGAAAGCAGGGCCATTATCGTGTTGACATTGTACGGGAATTCTGCAGATAGGTTTTTATGCGTACGAATCATGTGGCCTCCGTATTTTGTCCGCTTGCGGTGAAAACTAATCGTGTTGCCTACGTATTTCAAAATAATAATAGTGTGGCCTACTATTCGTGTCTTTCTTGTGCATGCATGGGCATGAATTCTCCAAAATCATGCAAGAAGTCTGGACTACGGAGGGTCCTTGACATTTTATCGTTATCGGGGAAGGATCTTAAAGTTTTTTATTTATTTTTTTAATTCTGTCGTTTGAAGCCTTTCTTTTAAGGTATTAATCGTGTCTCAACCCTTATCTCTGATTGAGGAGCCAATCTCAATACTATTTATCGCACGCGGCACGATGCCTGAACCCTTATGCTCTGCTGCTACATTTGGTCTTTCTTTCTGCAAAGTCGAGTCCAGCTTTCGGCTTTGCTGTGCGAGTTGCATGCTTTTGGAATTTTTCTTTTTATTTTTGGGTTTTCGCACAATCATTCAAGGACCATAAACCGACTCATTTTCTAGGATTCTTTTCCCCATTTGGAATCTGTCACCATGGCTGCCATTACTGTGCTTGTCAACGCTGGGATTGTTCTTCACGTTAGTCTTCCTCATACTATGGGCATTAGCATCTATATTCTGCTCAGAATAGGATTGGTTCCATTGTGGTATTTGCATTGTTCTTTAACTGGTTGTGTGATATGTGTTGGGTAGGCATGTCGGCCAGATCAGTAAAATAGACTGAGATATTAATATAACATTGATTTCGGAGCAGGAACATGTGTCTCCAAGTGCGTACATTAGACTTTATGCTAAAATGCGCTCTGTGTACTGCTACTGAGCCTGGCGGCTTCTTGACTGCCAAGTAGTTCTTCACTTTTGTAGGGGTTGTCTAAAAAAAAAGTAAACTAATATACGGCTAAATAACGTGACCGAAATTTTAATAAGATAATTAATAAATTTGGTAAAGCACAACTTATTATATTGATAAACTCATAATGTTATAGGTAGAAAATATGAAAAATAAAAAATAAAAAATTAGTAATCGGTAAACTTTGATTATCGGTAAGTATCGATACATATATATAAGTTTTCATACTTATTTCATTTTAAAAAGTATTAATTTAGTGTTATATTTTGAGTGAGTTTTAAGATATTAATTTAGTAATTATACGTGTCTAATGATTTATTTTTATGTTACGGTATATATTATTATTAAATTAAAAATAATAAATATAGATATTACATATTTATTATTATTTTTGGTTAAAATTATTAAATTTAAATTATAAATAATATTTTATAAAATATCTAAACAATCAAATAATATTTTGTGTAAATGAAATTATTAAATTAATATTGTAGGTGGAAAACATGAATCACTATTAAAAAAAATTGAAACATAAATTACATACCTTTCAATAAAGTATCGATACATGTACAAAAAGTATCGATACTTTTAACATATCCAGTAATTCTTTACCGGTTTTGTCATAATGAAACTGGTTTTTATATTTTTACCTGTTATATTATTATGTATCGAAACATTTTTATAAAGTATCGATACTTTTAACATATCCGGTAGCTATTTACCGGTTTTGTCATAATGAAACTGGTTTTATAATTTTTACCTGTTATATTGTTATGTATCGATACATTTTTATAAAGTATTAATACTTTTAACATATTCGGTAGCTCTTTACTATTTTTTTCATAATGAAACTGGTTTTTTACCTATTATATTATTATGTATCGATACATTTTTATAAAGTATCGATACTTTTAACATATCTGGTAGCTCTTTACCGGTTTTATCATAATGAAACTGGTTTTGTCATTTTTTACCTGTTATATTGTTATCTATCGATACTTTTAACATATACGATAGCTCTTTACCGGTTTTTTCATAATAAAATTGGTTTTGTCATTTTTTACATGTTATATTGTTATCTATCGATACTTTTTTTATAAAGTATCGATACTTGTAACATATCCGATAGCTCTTTACCGGTTTTGTTATAATGAAATAGGTTTTGTCATTTTTTACATGTTATATTGTTATGTATAGATACATTTTTATAAAAATATTGATACTTTTAACATATCCGATAGCTCTTTACCGATTTTGTCATAATAAAATTGATTTTATCATTTTTTACCTGTTATATTGTTACGTATCGATACATTTTTATAAATTATTAATACTTTATAGGTGCTATTACTGTTTTTCTTTTAAATTCCAAAAGTGTCGATACTTATTTAAATGAAATTAATACTTTCAACATATCTGTTAGGTAGTTTAATGTAATAGGTAGCACCTATTTTTTTTTACCATTTACATTATTAGTAACCTTAAAAAAAACTGGTAGGTAACGCCTGTTTTTTTTACCGTTTACATTATTAGCAATCTTAAAAAAATCGATAGGTTGTTTAATGTAATAGGTAGCGTCTATTTTTTTTACCGTTTACATTGTTAGTAACCTTAAAAAAACCGATAGATATTTTAATGTAGTAGGTAACCTCTATTTTATATTTTTGATTAAATTATATAATATTTACTATATAAATTTTAATTAATCACTTGTTTAATCACTCACACATTTTTTAGCCGTTTTTTAACATTCTCACACACTTTGAAAATATTCGGTGACAGGTGGCTGCAACGCACGAATCCGAATCTTCGTCATGGCCGCCACTCTCTGCATTCGATGCATCTGTTAATAAACCCTCGAACAACGAAACAGTGTTAAATAATTTCTCACTAACATATCGCAATTTTATGTCGAAAAAATCGCATTATGACATGAGAAAAAAATAATAAAAGTAATTTATTGTTAGTTCATTACACGGATTTAATTTGATTCGACTTTCAAAATACCAAGAGGGACCCAAGTGGCCAAACAACTAGTTTTCAATCCACAGGAAGACGAAGTATAGAATAACCCGATGGTGATGCATTTTACCAAAACCAATCGCACATAGATAAGTCCACCGTATTACTAAAGCTTAGGTGAGTTTATTAAAAAAACTCGACAATTATTTTTTTGGTTGTGTAGCTTTAAAAAACAAATAAGTTAAAAAAATTAACAAAAAAAAACTACAAAGTCTAAGTACCTACTAAGTATTGAACATCAAATTTAATAATAAAAAGCAGATAGTAAGTAAGTCCCTAAATATTACAGCCAAAGTCATTTAAAAAATAAAGGGTAATATACACATTAACCCTAAAAATACAGTTATCCCTTTCAAATAACTGCAGTTAAACTTTTAATTTTAATCTAAAAATAATATCTTGTTATCTCCAAAGAAGATTATATATAAAAAAATTAACTGACCTTATTCCCATATGTAATGGGATAAGGGGAGGTAGGGTCGTAGGCTGCTGCCCCCAACACCAGGTTGAGAACAACTTCCATAGAATACCTCAAATTATAAATTGTCAACCATAAGACTCGATCCCACAACTACAAAGTTAAGAACCTTGCGCTCTACCAACTGAGCTGGACGGACAATTCTGTAAAATAAAATATTAAATCTCTATTAATAAAGATTTTTAAAATATCATACTATCTTTCGAATCATCTTTCGTCGATATCACTTTAAAAAACTTTAAAAAATCCTTAACGTGTCGTGACTTTGGACAGAATTAAAATTATCAATAATCGCAAAATTTATAATATAATAAAATATTAATATGTATAATGACTCTAGAATTAACATTAATTATTAAAGAAATATACTAAAGAGACAAATCGATACGATGAATGAAATGTTCTTCTAGTCTTCTATCTTCTCACTGTCATAGATAATTATCAACTCACAATCGTTTTTATATTTAGGATAATTTAAGTAAATCATTATTGAGCTTTTTTTTTCTCCTATTTTGAATACAAAACTTTAAATATTTTAATTTTTCACTAAACGTTCAAATTATTCATATTTTAATTACAAACTTTGTGATAACATTGATTAGTTAAATAATTTTAACTATGATATGGCTTTTTTTTTCATTATTTAATATCATATAGTATTTTAAATAAAACTAAAGTAATCAAATCCGAATTTCATCTTAAACTTATATTTAATATCGTTTTGATCTAAATTTATATTTTGAGAGATTTAAAATATGTCGTTTTAATGTTAGTTGTAATGTCATAGCATCATCTATCTAACGAAAAATTGAGAAAAAATTCAATCTTCAAAATTCAGTGAGTATATAAAAAAATTTAAAGTTCAGCAACCCAAATAAGAGAGAGGAGAAAGTTCAGTTATGATTCACGTAATTTACCATTACATATATTGTAACTCTTCGTTTAATCTAAAAAAACCCCACTGTTGACGCAATACATCTTATTCCATTAAAAAAAATTAATTATAATAAGCAAAAAAATAATTTTATTTAATTTATATTCGTATTGTGGGGAAAGGAATAAAATATTTTCATATCTTGGAGTGAGGTGATAAAACTTTTAACTCAACCATGATTAAGTGGGAACAACACGGGTTGAGGAACCACTATATAATCAACAGAGCTGCGGCTCTTCTTAGAAATAGAAAACGATGTCCAAAAATGATCGGAGAAACAATCCGACTAAATCCTACTATCAGAATCCCGTCAGGGGACACACTGGACTATTCGACGGATAGCTTCGCATCCTTCAGCTTCAACCGCAGCAATGCACCCAATAGTCCCTGTCCCGTCGATTACCTCGCGTCTCTCCACCGTTGCCTACCGTCAAATGACTACGAGTCAGACTCGCTGAATGAGGATTCGGACTTTCCTGTCGATGCATTCTCATGCGACAATTTCCGTTTGTACGAGTTTAAGGTGAGGCGGTGCGCTCGTGGAAGGTCACATGACTGGACCGAGTGTCCGTACGCACACCCGGGTGAGAAGGCCCGACGAAGGGACCCCAGGAAGTTTCATTACTCTGGAACTGCTTGCCCCGACTTTCGCAATGGAAACTGTGAAAGAGGAGATTCCTGTGAGTTTGCTCACGGCGTTTTCGAGTGCTGGCTCCACCCTGCTCGTTATCGTACTCAGCCTTGCAAGGACGGTAACAGTTGTAAAAGAAGGGTTTGCTTTTTCGCTCACACGCCGGAGCAGCTTCGGGTGTTTCCACAGTACCGTTCGACAGAAAATGGATCCGGTTCAGGTTATTTAGATCATTTTGGTTCGCCCATTGGGCTCCGTCTGGAGTTTGGTTCTTCACCAACTTCCATTCTGGCTTCGCCTCCTTTATCCCCACCTTCTGAATCACCTCTCACGTCACCCAGTGGCTCATTTAACTTGGTGAGTGAACTTTCTGCTTCTGTGCGAAATCTGCAACTTGGCAAGTCCAAAATGAGTGGTGCTTGTTCCTGGGGACTGCAAATGGAATCGGGACTCGGTTCTCCTCGTGGCTCCACATTCCGAGCCGGTTTTTCCAGCTCTCCATCAACTCCTGCTCAGACACCAACTCGGTCTAGCTTTGGTCACTTCGACATCTGGGAATGCAACGCTGACGAAGAGGAACCTGCAATGGAGAGAGTGGAATCTGGGAGAAACCTAAGGGCAAGTATGTATGCAAAGCTGAGCAAAGAAAATTCTCTCGACCGTCTTGAGCCAACTGGGTCGGGTCCTGATGTTGGATGAGTATCCGAGTTGGTAAAGTGAAGCTGTTTCTTCGGAAAGGATTGGATACTTGGCATCTATTTTGAGTTATTTTCTGAAATTTAAACTAAATCAAGTGGCTTTTGATTCTTCCGACTTTTTGTGAATATCGATGATGCATCTGATTTGAACATTTGGCATTGTAAATATACAACGGGAAAAGGGAGATGGAAGAAGTCTTTTTTGTGTGGTGCGAATGCCTCTTTTATTCGAGATTGTTCATGGAACAAAAGAATTTCATGTTTTGTATTGACCAGGAGGACTGGACTGATTACGGCTGCCCAAGAACGGGGAGCGGTTTGTTTTCTATTTTGTGAACCATTATGAATCGTGAATTCCTTTTCTTCCGGATATTATCTATGTAATTTTTCCTATCATGTCTAATCAATGCAATATATCTCTTCTTTTTTATTTTCCTAAATTTCCCAAAAAATTAAATAAATTTGGGAACATTGTGAGTTTCCTACCCTAGTGAGCCAACGACCCTTTAATTGAAATAGTAAAAGGTTGACTGTTATTCCAGTGCCATTCTGGCTCACAATAATTACTATAATATAAAGGAAGGAGATATATTTGTCCTTTCATTTCTAAGTGGGGCTTTTGGGATAACTCTCACCTTTGAGTCGCGGGATTTTGAAGATCTTTGAGTGTAAGTTATCACATATCTTTTCTATCACAAGCAATCAACAGCAACTTGAAAGCTATCGATTATGTTGATGTTCTCAGAGTTTGCGAGTTATTCAAGAAATTTTAATTATTTGATGATGTTTGTTTTTTAGTGGTAAAAAATTTATAGTCTACGAATTATATCTACAAATATCTGTAGGCATCTACAGCAGAAGAAGTGAATTAAAAATCTGCAGTATGAAAGAAGAAAATTGTTTATTTTTTAACGTATGCAGACTGTTAAAATGAATTAAAATATAAATAAACTGGGTTTTTTAAACTTAAAAGAGTTTTGCAATGCTGAGATTTAAATAATTTTAGTTTTATAATATTGAAATTTAAATAATCCATATAACTACAATAATAAATTATTTAAAATAAATTAATTTATAATTTAAAATAAATCAATACATAGTAATAAATTATTAAAATAAATCAATTCATACAACTATAATAATAAATTAATCTATATTTTAAAATAAATCAATTCATAGTAATAAATTATTTAAAATAAATCAATCCATACAACTATAATAATAAATCAATCTATACAACTACAATAATAAATCAATCTATATTTTAAAATAAATCAATCTATACTAATAAATTATTTAAAATAAATCAATTCATATTTTAAAATAAATCAATTCATACTAATAAATTATTTAAAATAAATCAATTCATATTTTAAAATAAATCAATTCAAACTAATAAATTATTTTAAAATAAATCAATCCATATTTTATAATAATTTATTTTAAAATAAATTATGTTATAATAAATTAATTTTAAAATAAATAACCTTATTAAATTATTTAAAATTATTTTAATAAATAACCATATTTTATAATTATTCTTAAAGAGGTTTGAATAACTTTGAAGATATAAAACCATGTTTGTACCAAGAAGAGCTTGCGCAGACATTAGAAGAGCTCGCGCAGACATTAGAAGAGTTCGTGCAGACATTAAAAGAGCTTCTGTCTTCTAAAAAACAAACGGTATGTGAAGTCTAATATCTACTCGTGATCTACGCGATGCAAACATAAGAGGTTTAAAGAGGTTGCACAGTAAAAATAAACTAAGTCTTATACATAATTTTCTTATTTGGCATTTACTTTAATCAACACCAATTATGTGTTTTTATCAGTGGTCAGAGAGGATTTCATCAACAACAACAACAAAACCAAATTCTCATATGTAATGGGGTAAGGGGGAGGTAAGGTAGTAGATTGCCCCCAACGTCAGGTTGAGAGTAGTTTCCGTGGAAGACCTCCGGCAGTCAGAGAGGATTTCATCAACGATTTTTAATATTATTGTTGTTTAAATTATCTTCGACCCTTTGAATATTTTTTTAATTGATCTAATTTAATACAAAATTAAATAAAAATGTTTTTACGCCTATTTTTTAATGTATTTAACCTGGTAATTAGATTGCGACGTGCGCTATTTTGAACTGAAAAATTAAACAAATCCTTATCTTCTAATAGTATTTTAATTTATCCCCTTAAGAGCCACTTGCATTAGTGATTAACTAAGTTTATTTATTATTATGATATGATGTGAAAGTTCTTCAGTCGAAGAGACAGCAAGCACTATCTCTATCTGTATTGTTAGGGTCCCATTTTTTAATTTCCACGACTGTTTTCTTTATTATTTTATTTCAGGTTTCTGGTGTCTGGTTTCTTCATGGTAATTGTGGCATATATATAAAAGTTATATTACAATATAAATGAATTTTCGTTTACTACTATCATATTTAATTTACTTAATATTATATAAATTTTAATACTTTATATTGGAAATTTATATAAATTTTATTTTAAAATTCCTTATGTTATATATATATTAATAGTAAAATATAAAATTATAATACTATCATAATTCATTATTTTGTTAATATAATTAATTGATACTTGACAACACTACAATTTTTATAATTTTTTATTAAATTAAAGTGATTATAATGTAATATATCTTTTAAATATTATCAATCATTTGATAATAAACGTTTAAATATTTTTGTAATAACTAGTATTCAAATCTTATACATTTAAAAATAATAATAATTCTTTTAACTATTAAAATAAATTAATTCGTATTTATAAATTTTATTTATTCACGTTAATGCATGAAATAATAATTTGTATATTTATATAAAATTTTACATTATATCTCGTAAACCTAAATCTGTCTTATTTGAATTAGTGGCAATATGGGCATTAAATATTAATATCGATTAAAGAGGCCGACAAAATGGACGATAGTTCCTAGATTTGGTTCGTTTGAAAAATAAAATAAAATAATTCGGACGTGGAAGGAAACGAGGCTGGCGCATGTGCGGGATTAGATTCTATACTGGCGTGTTCTCTGAAACTATATGTCACTACACATTTTTCGTCCTGCTAAGATTTAAACTCTTAAAAATAAGATAAAATTTTAGAATTCAAACTCCTAAAATAGGATAACATTTTGCTAAGATTCAAACTCCTAAAAATAGGATATAGTTCTACTAAGATTTAAATTCCTAAAGATAGGATCCACAAGCACTATAAATAGTCATTGTAACTCACCATTGTAAAGGAGGATTTACACACAAAATACAGAGGAAAGCACGGAAAATACAACGGCAAAGCTATTGTAAACGATTCGAAAAAGAAATAAAAGATAGCATTTTTTTTGCATATGCACGTTATTTTTCTTGAGATTTGGTTCGAATAACCTAAAACGTGGGTTGCGCCGATGACCAAAAAGGGGTGGGGTTTCAAAGTTTCGAACTTAGATCTACTCCCGAGGCATATTCGTTTTTTTTAGTATTTAATATTCCCTGAATATTACTTCGAAATTTGACCCCTGATTTTTTTTGTTCCAATTTAATCCCTTCATGTTTTAATTCATTTTCTTGATTTCGCATTTTTTACCTATAATATTATATTTTATTTGTTATTACTTTCACTAACAATATATCTATATATATTTTATATATATTATTTGTTTCCTCCTCTTCTTTTTTATTCGTATATATATTATGTACATATAACTACATATATGTATTTTAGTATTTCATTCTAACATCTATTTACATATATTACCTTTTATCTTTATTATATATATTATATTTATTGTTTCATTTTCTTTATGTGTATTTTATTTATTTATATATATTACCTTTTTTATTTTATATTTATACTATTATTTACTATCATTTTTCTATGCTTTATTTATTTATTTATTTATTATTTTATTTTATTTTATTTCTTTTTATTTTGGTTGAATTTATTTATTTATTTATTTTATTTTATTTTTTTATATCTAACATGTTTCTCAAATCTTTAAGGGTACATTTTCAATCGAACATAGGTAAATTTTGGATCGTTATTTTTACCTTTTAATTTAAAATTACAATTTTCTTAATTAAGACAACTGAAAATTACGTAGTACCGAAAGGGCGGTTCAAGGGTGCTAATCCTTCCTTGACCGTAACCGACTCCCGAGCCCGACATATTTCTGGAAAGACGCAGATCAGGTAAGAAATAAGGTATCCGATCAACCCATTTATTTTTAAATAATGATCGGTGGCGACTCCAATCTATTTTCCTAAGTCGAAGTTCAATTCCAAAACCCAACCAAAAGACGGTTACGACACTATCGTGTCACTATTGTTTATGTCGTTTTAAAGGGACGAAAACACTTGGTCGTTGTACGGGCCAATGGGGGCATGGAAGACTGAATAATAACCTTATCTCAAAGGCCGATACTGTTTTCTTTGTACTGGAGAGGTGGTGTAGAAAAAATAAGAGTTTCAATCAACGGGCCAAGCAGACCTCATGGGGGACCCAAGTCTTATTTTTTCAATGGACTAGAAACAACTCTCCGTAGTACCTGTAACCTGTCTGTCTAATGGTTCCCCCAGCCTTAGTCACATCATACATGATCAATTCTATTCATGTTTGTATCACATCTATGGTATTAGATAGCATTTTAAGTGAATTAAATAATAGACAGATTCAAACGATGAGGTTGGATCCATGATCTGTCAGATATTTTTCGTGCTGATTTTAATCATGTTCATCAGTTGAATGTCATAGACTTTAATGATGTTGCCCATATAACTGTCCCTTGTTTTCATATGTAATGAAGATAGAGGAGGTAAGATAATAGTAGATTGTCTCCAACATCAAATTGAGAATAATTTTTGTAGAAGACTTTCGAATTATGAAATATATTCCGTGTGATTCGATCCCACGACCTAAAGATTAAGACCCATATGTTGTCCCAATAATGAAGAGATATGTAAGGAGATCGCGGATGCATAACATTGGCCGGAAAATAAAATCCAGTAACAAAGGGAGTATCTTTTGGGCTCTTTGCTTCGTCCCCCAACCGACAAGGCGGAGCACTTGGAGATTGGATTCCTCAGTGATCAAAATTAAAAATCTCAGATAATATACGATTGTTATAAATTTTTTTTGGATTTGTGAAAATGACCATCACAAATTCGCGTTGCAATAGTCTACAGTTGTCGTTGCAATTTTCCAATTTGTTTCTTAAGAATTTTCTCTAAAAAGATAGTATCCGCGCGGACGTGTC